CCACCCATATACACACAGACCCCCACACACAGCCCCCCATACTAACACTGCCACACACATACACTGCCCACACACTCTACACATTCACACACTACACCCCCACACACACACTGAACCTTTCACACACATTGCACCACTGCTCCTATTCCCTACTACAGCCTCATATCCCAGCAGACCCCAGGTAAGTTGTCAAACTGTTCTTAAACGGGTTGACTACTTACTCTGGAGCAGTAGTGGTTATTGTGCATGGATTATTTCTTTAAATAATCTACAAGTGCCCCAGTAGCCAGCCAGCCAACCCACAGGCCAGTAGCCAGCCCACAGGCCTACAGCAAGCCACAGGCTTACAGCCAGCAAGCCACAGCCTGCCAGCCGCAGCCAGCAAGCCCACAGACTGCCAGCCAGCAACAGTAATTAAGGTAAGAGGAGCCAACTTGGCTTAGGTATCAGCGAGCTATGTTGTGTTGCTATATTGTGAATAGGAACCAGAGTGTTGGAGAGACCACCCTCCAGGCCCCATTAGACTCTAGCCTCTGTTAGAAATCCCCTCCATGGCCCATTAGCCCTCAATTGTAGTTTCTACTGGGGCCTGGAGGCGACTGTTTCCAGCAGGGGATATCTAATGGACGCTGAGATGGCCTCTGTTAGAAAGACCCCCTTCCAAGCCTTTTAGACTCCATTGTAGTCTCTAATGGGGCTTGGAGGGGATTCTATCTAACACACTCTCTAAAGGACACTGAGATACCCTCCGCTAGAAAGACCCCCCTCCATGGCCCATTAGCCCTCAATTGTAGTCTCTACTGGGGCCTCGAAGGGCTTATTGCCCTTTTGTTCCTTGTGTCTAAAGATTGTGTAGGGTGTGGCTGGAGGCGGTGCATGGAGTATGGGTGGGGCCTGTAAGGGGGCCCTTGATTTATTTTGCCCGGGGGCCCTGAGGGTTCTCAGTCCGCCCCTGGTTGTGTGTACAAATAATGTAATAAGAAAGTGTGGATTTTAGTATGAATGACTAGGAGGGGTTAAGATAAAGATTGTCAAATACAAAACATCAGATTTAAATGATGTCAGACATACCTATATGTTTAGAGTAGCCTTACATGCTGGTAGTTGCTGCAGACCACTTTCCCTGTCTAGCTCGCATGCCCCATCTCTCCTGTTTTTATTGTTAAGCAGCCCCCACTGTGCAATGCTATTATTGTAACTAACAAGAGTATATTTGAGGGAGCGAGCTATTTTAAAAGTTATGGTGACAGTGTGTCAGAAAAGTCAAACATGACTAGGGATATAAAAGTACATTTATATCCAAACTACAAAGTACAAATATTTATCTCAATCCTCACACTGTGACTTCATCTCTTGGGATTTCATTCTGACAAGATCAATTACTGTTGATTTCTATATACTAACGTTCTTTAATATATCTCATGTGTGGATCCAGAATTACAGTCCAGACGACCCTAGATACCAAGACTGTAAGCACTTCCCAAGACTCCAAAAATATATATTTTTAAATAAAATAAAAAAAGGTCATGTGAGCAGGACACTGTTGGAAAGTACAGTTAAACAGAGATTGAAATGGAGTGTCTGAACAACAGGCTTTTACTGTCTGAACTGTCTCAACAGGCATAGTTATTTGGATATGTATAAAATGATTAAGCTTTGAGTGTGTGTAATAGCAGCTGGCATTAAAGGGACACTATAGGCACATCCTTTTTGACACCATCTTATTGAAGTGGTTTGGGTACAGCTTCCCTGTCCCCATTAGGCCTGCAATGTAAAAGTTTGCAGTTTTAGAGAAACTGAAATATATACATTGCAGTACTAAGATTGCCTATACTGTATGTCTACCAGACAGCCACTAAAGGCGCTTCCTGGAGTTTCACAGAGTTTGGTTCTGTAAAATTATGCTGGATGTGTTCACGCTCTGCTCCGGCATCAAAATCAAAATCAAAATCAAGGAAAACCCCATGGGAAAGAACTGGGTCAATGATTTCCTATAGGGAAGGCCTAACGCGCGTGGTGGTTGCAGTGCACACGCATTAGGTCCCCAAATTGGCCGAAATCAGAAGAGGCAAAGTGTGACCCAGTGCTGAGGGACATCGGCGTTGGAATCGGGTAAATGAATAAATATTACTGTGGTGAAACCAGCCTCGCCAATGGGCATTGGAGAAGACTAATTGCCAGCCTCCTGCCCTGTGACTATGGCCCCATGTTGAAATGCTTGATTTTCCCCTGCAAAGACCCAAAAGCCGGGTCATTCGGTACTTTCCCTATTTGAACAGTGATACCCCAGATAGCAATGCCATGGAGCCTATTCGTATAACGAAAGACTATGTGAAAGACTTTGGCTCCATGGCAATTGAACTGTATGTATGTGATCTGAGCGTCATTCAGTAATAATGTGCGCTCAGATCTAAGCTATCTGGGGATATGTTGAATGTACTTGTTTAATGCAATAGCTGCACAGTTATATATATTTATGTATTTTATTGTCTTTTGCTACCATGTGGCTAATGGAGTTTTGCCTCTGTCCTTGGAGATAATTGGATTACTTCCCAATTATCTCCAGAATAGAAGACTCTGTGGAACCGGTTTTGGGCAGAAAAGCCATGCTTCATTTGGTCACAAAGGACTTCGATCTAACTTTTGACCCACTGGACCAATTTGTATGAGTTTGACGTATGTTTGTATTTGGAGTATGCTGATTCTGAAAATGTAAGTTTTATGTGAATGTGATGCATACTTTTAAAGTTATGAATATTGTGTAAAACTGTGTATTTCCCTGCCTGTGATAATTATATTAACCCATTGTGTAAGGTAATTGTATCACAGGCAGAGGGGAGGATTTTGTGTGGGAGTGTCTGAGTGCATTGTACATGTTTATTGGTTGTTTTACAAAACCCTGTGGGTGGTACTAATGTGTAAGAATGTGTATATAAGAACAATAAACCCACAGTTGTGGCAGTTCTACTTCACCCTCAATCTGAGTCCTGTCTCTTATTGGGGGAATCTGCTACAAGGGATTGCTATGCTTGCTAAATCACTACTAAGCTCTTGTAAGAGCTTTTTCCTGTCTTTCTTTCTGAAGGAGTCTATGGTGGTTATGGTGTCGGCTGGAGTGCTTGGAGCCCTCAGGAAGAGCTAGGAGCATCCTTCAACTGAGGTACCCAGTCGTGGTGCCCGTCGATCCGTTACAATTACTTAACCCTATACCATGGGGGCAAAGTAACATGTTAATGTTAGGAATACATCTTTGTATTTCAAACACTGACGTGTTCCTTTAAAGAGACACTTTAAGCACCAAAACAGCTTTAGCTTAAAGGACCACTATAGGCACCCAGACCACTTCAGCTTAATGAAGTGGTCTGGGTGCCAGGTCCTTCTAGGGTTAACCCATTTTTTTATAAACATAGCAGTTTCAGAGAAACTGCTATGTTTATGAATGGGTTAAGCCTTCCCCCTAATCCTCTAGTGGCTGTCTCATTGACAGCCACTAGAGGCGCTTGCGTGCTTCTCACTGTGATTTTCACAGTGAGAGCACGCCAGCGTCCATAGGAAAGCATTGTAAATGCTTTCCTATGCGACGGGCTGAATGCGCGCGCAGCTCTTGCCGCGCGTGCGCATTCAGCCCAGGAGGAGGATCGGAGGAGGGAGGAGGCAGAGAGCTCCCCGCCCAGCACTGGAAAAAGGTAAGTTTTAACCCCTTTCCCCTTTCCAGAGCCGGGCGGGAGGGGGTCCCTGAGGGTGGGGGCACCCTCAGGGAACTATAGTGCCAGGAAAACGAGTATGTTTTCCTGGCACTATAGTGGTCCTTTAATGGAGTTGTCTTGGTGTATATATCAAGCCCATGCAGTCTTACTGCTCAATTAAATGCCATTTAGGAGTTAAATCACTTTGTTTATACAGCCCTAGGCACACCTCCCCTGTGACCTACACAGACTTCCTACACATTTCATGTAAATAGAACTCTAATGTTTAAACTTCCCTTACTGCACAGTCTTTTTAATTTAGAATGTCTGCTGCTCTGTTAGTAGCCTGTTAGAGCATGAAGGAGCCACCCTTCTACTTAAGGTTCAATTAAAGAGCAGGAGATAAAAACATCTAAAGTAAACACGCTTTGCTGTCACATCTGATTTAAAATTAAACAATTTTTCATTGTGGCTGTGTGAGTCACAACCAAGGAAGGTGTATTTAAGGCTGTATAAACAGAAACAAAAATGATTTAACGCCTAAATGGAAGATAATTAAGAAATTAGATTGCAGGAGCATGATATATACACCAAAACAGCTTCATTAAGCAAGAGTTGTTTTGGTGCTCAGAGTGTCCCTTTAAGTTACAAATACTTGTTTCTGAAGGGGCTTATAAAAGAATGTAGCAAAAGACAAATGCCTATGGTACAGAAAAATAACACTAGGATCATCTCATATCTCTTCTAATTCCAGCAAAAATAGAAAGTCTTAGTACAATATTTCATAGTGACCCATAACTGCAAATGTGAATAAATCCACCCATTAAACCCATAATCTTGAGGAAGGAACAAAAGTCTACTACCTAGTGTACCTGACATGAACAAAACCCCTCCATATTTACATCTATTATTTATTTGCAAAGCTTGACTGCTCAGATACTTTACCATCAGAGTCAATATCAACTCGTGTGCATTCCCCAGGTTCGGCTGTCAGCGGACATTGGTAGAGACCACCCGTCCGGTTTGCATGTTGCGTTGGTAATGCTGAAGCCTGTGGAGCACCCACCAAAAGCCTGAAAAATAGAAGACACATTTGATTTTATCTTACCGCCATGTAATGTGCAAAATGATAATACCACCAAAAATATCAGACCATGTCAATCTAATCACAATATTGCTTTGAAAATACCAATCAATAAACAATGACATCTTAATACCAGTAATGGGTTTCTCCAGCATTCGCCGTGCACGCAACACCAAGAGGCAATGAAAGCCGATAATGTGCCATTAAGTGATTAGGGTGACAGTTTCACAACTATTTGTTCTGTGCTGACCACCACCACTTTTGTGCACTGATTTCACTCTGCTATCGTTTTCAAAGACAATTTTATGAAGTGTTTCATAGCCTTATTTACTGCTACACACTGCCTTAGATATTGGACCAGCTGCTGCTATAATGAATAATAGAAAGCAACCTCGTAAAGTTGCAATAATTTGCTGTATGGACAAAGGAGGTCAGGAAAGGCTTTACACAAAGGTCACATCAATGATATTGGAGAAATAGAACACCCTTCATTATTATTCCTAAATCCTTATGTCCCTCTTTTCTCAGAGCAGAGAATGTTTGTTTATAGAATGTATATTAATCATGAAAGAGAAATTGCCGGTGTTCATTTATGCACAAGTGCAACTGATTGTCAAATTTAGATTGTAAACTGGGTGGAATAAATGGTAAAAGGAACACTTTAGTGTTAGCAATACAAATCCAAATGCTATAGTGACCCTGTCCCTACCCTTTTCAGTTCCCCCCACCCTGGTGCATTACATTTAAAAAAAAATGAAGTTTCACTTACCTTTTTCCAGCGCTGAGGCCCTCTTGGCACTACTTAACTCTCCGCCTCCTATGATGTCACAAAGGAGGCAAGGCCTCCTCCAGAGTGGTCCAATCTAATGCTCTTTACAGAGGATATTTAAAGGGACACTATAGTCACCCAGACCACTTCAGCTCAATGAAGTGGTCTGGGTGCCAGGTCCCTCAGGTTTTAACCCTTCAGATGCAAACATAGCAGTTTCAGAGACACTGCTATGTTTACATTTGGGGTTAATACAGCCTCCAGTGGCTGTCTTTTTTCGCACATTTCGCCTCCATCGCGCAGAGCGTCCATAGGAAAGCATTGAGAAATGCTCAGGGCACTATAGTGTCAGGAAAACCGTTTTGTTTTCCTGACACTACACCCTGTTCCAAATTATTATGCAAATGTTATTTTTCAAACTTATAACAACATTTTAACTTTTTAAACATTTTAACAGGTCACGTTACATTTTAACATAGGACCCCTTATTTAATAGCAGCTTCACAAGTCTTGCATCCATTGAACTTGTGAGTTTTTGGACAGTTTCTGCTGGAATTTGTTTGCAAGATGTCAGAATAGCCTCCCAGAGCTGCTATTTGGATGTAAACTGCCTCCCACCCTCATAGATCTTTTGCTTGAGGATGCGCCAAAGGTTCTCAATAGGACTGAGGTCAGGGGAGGATGGAGGCCACACCATAACTTTCTCTATTTTTATCCCCATAGCAGCCATTGATGCAAAGGTATTCTTTGTAGCATTAGATGGTGCATTGTCGTGCATGAAGATGATTTTATTAAGGAAAGCATAGTTCCAGGGTACCAGGGAAGAAAGTGGTCAGTCAGAAACTCCACATACTTTGCAGAGGTCATCTTTACACCTTTGGGGACCCTAAGGGGGCCAATCAGCTCTCTTCCCATGATTCCAGCCAAAATTTATTTTATTTTTCTGCCCAATGCAGCCGTTTCTGCTTGTGAGCATTGGTTAGTGGTGGCCGAATAGAAAGTTTATGCACAGTTGCAAGACTCTGGAGGACGCTACACCTTGATGTCCGTGGGACTCCAGAGGCACCAGCAACTTCAAATATCTGTTTGCTGCTATGTAATGGTATTTTAGCAGCTGCTCTCTTGATCCGATGAATGGATCTGGCAGAAATCTTCATCAATGTGCCTTTATCTGCATGAACCCGTCTGTGCTCTGAATCAGCCACAAATCTCTTAAAAGTGTGATGATCACGCTTAGGTTTTCATGAAATATCTAATGTTTTCATACCTCGTCCAAGGCATTGAACTATTTCACTCATTTCGGCAGCAGAGAGATCCTTTTTCTTCCCCATATTGCATGAAAATGGTGCTCTGCTTAATAATGTGGAACACCCTCCTTTAGTAGCTTTTTTTTCCTTAAATTGGGCTCACCTGGCAATCTAATTATCACAGGTGTCTGAGATTGTTTTCAGTGATCAAAAGAGCCCTGAAACACAATGCCATCCATGAGTTAAACTGAAAAACAAAATATTTAATCTTTGTGACACTTAAATAGAATTTGCATAATAATTTGGAACAGGGTGTATAGTGATCCTTTAACTTGGTCAGTGTAGCGGTATCGCCTCTGGTGGCTGTCATAGTGACAGCCACCAGAGGTGGATTTAGCCCTGCAGTGTAAACATTGTAGTTTGACAAAAACAGCAATGTTTTAATCTGCAATGTTACGAGGGCAGCAACACTGCACCCATTGAGATAAAGTGGTCTGGGTAACAAAAGTGTTACTTTAACTAAGCCCTTGTGCTCATGCTGTGATTAGCTACATCAACTGATTGCAACATCTATGCAGTGCTGGATTTAGAGCCTAATGGGCCTTGAAGAGAAATTTGATAGGCCTAATAAGAGAAATTTAATTTACACATTAACCGTCATGGTTGCTGTTATGGTTTATATGTGAGATACAAAGCAAAACTAATACTGATACACATGGACACTGAAAACTCCCTACTGTGTGGTTGCATTGTTACCTATATGCCTTTGAGTCAGAGTACACAAACAGGAGCATACAGCCACTGTGCACAGTATAGTCTGAGTACAATGCAGTGACTAGGAAGCAATTGATAAATATAAAAAGTTCAGTAGGTTTGAATCATAAAGGAATACATTAACACAAAAAAACCTGAACATTTACATTGGAGTTGCTTTAAGTCTATTACTAAACATAGACCTGGAGCTACTACTCCAATAACCCCTATGTTAATCTGCATCTGGTGAGGGTAATGGGATTTCTCGTGTCTTGAATACATTGGGCAAAATGACCAGCCCTGGTTTGATCCTATATGCATGTGTCATATACATGAAGATCAATATTAAAGTATTTGCCATCATTCTAGACCACATTTACAATGTCTCAATAGATAAGAAAAATAATGTGCATTGAAATTAAATTAAAACAGTTACAAAACTTGACTGATGAATAAAAAAAACTAAAAGCGAAGATTTTTATTTTATTGTGTAAATCAATATTTTATTGAGAATCAAAGGTAAAACTGAAGCAATACTTGCCTACATTCAACAGTGGAATAGGGATACAATACAAATTAAACAATATTCAATCAAGTACTCTGTCATCTTGAGTCTCCATCTCACCTTTCATAGTTTAGTGGTATTGCAGGCAGATATCCAATAGTAATCCAGTTCAAACTATGCACACCGAGAAGCTTATAACAATGATTGACAGGGAGATAACATGGAGGTGTCCAGTTACAGGATAAAGAACTGTGGACTAGGAATAGACGATTATCTGTTCTGCCGAATATTATAGCCGATACTCGGCATATTTCCGAAAATCAGTTTCGGTGATTTACCAATATTACTGATAACTTACCTCTCCTTGTATCCGCACGTCATCTAATGCATCCGGAAACTCCAGATGCCATCCAATGAGGCGCCAAACTGCGACCTCTTATCACCCCTCCCTTTAAATCCCCGATTGCGGAGCTCAGCTGAAGGCAGGGAGGCTAGACAGTGAATAATCTACTGTAATGTACTGGGCTGGCTGACTGAGAGTGATGGGAGTGTGATTATTCTCAGCAATTCCTATCACAACAGAACTGTACATGCAGAGATCCCAGCATGTACTTGCTGTCTAAGAGTGATAGGAGTGTGATTGCTGTCAACATGTTCAGTAAATGCCAGGTTTGTGTAGAAGTTGGACTGCTTTTTCATAACTAAGTGTACAGAACATTGTCACCGGTTATCATCAACCAATAATCTATATAAGCATCGGCTCTGGAAAAATGATATCGGTCGATCCCCAGTGTGAACTTCTATTTCACATTTTTTTTTACACATCATAAAACCATATTTGTTAAATATAGTAATAAGTAAACATAATACTACAAATTCTTGGAGTCTTTTTGATCATCGCACAAGTAGTTCTATAAATAATAAAAACAAAGAGAACGTTACCTGTGCTCTGGCCCAAATCCCCATGTACATTTAAACAAAATGGAGGCTCTTTAGTTTTATTCCAATGTCCATTTGAATATATAAGCTCACCTGCCATGTCAAGGCAAGCCTCAATATTCTATAAATAATCCTGCAGCCTCAGAGGATCGGCCATAGACCTCTCATGTATAAATGTGGCAGGGGCTCCCAGCAGATAAAGCCAGTTTTGGGTTCTCCTGGCAAATGAAGTTCCAGGAGCTAAAGAAGAAACCCATGCGGAAGGTTGTGACACCCACAAGAGAGAGTTTCAGGTAAGTTTATCTCATATCATATTCGCTTCTCTCCTGGGGGGTCTTTACAAAATATGCAGACTCTGAAGAAAGCGTTAGAGCCACTACAGTATAAGGTGAACTTCACACACAGTTTGTGGATTCCATCTTCATTTTAAAAGCGCTGTCAAGGATTATCCAGTGTCATTAAAACGCCTTTCCCATGTCTCCCTTACTATTTATCTTCTAGTAGGCAGAACATTGTATTGGAGCAGAGAGAGACATTCAAGCTCAATTTGAAATTCACTTTGAATTCTCATTTTAGTAAATAACCCTGTATGTCTATAATATGAAATGTTGTTATATTTGTAATGGAGTCCCCATAACTATAGAAAGAGACCGGCCTTTACTGTAAAATATGTCACTAACACTAAAATAAAAAATCTGCTGTTATTACCTTCTGTATGAGTCTGACTAATGCTGTCTCACACAAAACAGCAGCAGAAGTTGGGCGCCACAGTGCATCGTGACAGGGAATATTAGGCATGGATGCTACACTTTTGAGCCAGCGTTGACGCACAGCCCCGGAATGCAAATACAGAGACATCTACAGACAGCTGTGCACGAAACAATAATTTAACAGCTTTAACCCTTCTTTTGGGTGAAGGCTGGCACAGTGTTAATTCATTCTAGAACTTATATAGGAAACATAGTCAGAACTGTTCTCACCCTCTTCTGGATGTGTGTCATCAATGACATATATTGCAATGCCCGTTATTTATTATACAGGGATGGATAGTTTTTAAGACCAGATGGTCATTTCCACCATAATGTTTTCCCTTAGTATAGGAGTGCTGTCATTAGTCATATGGATTAAGGATTTGAATAATTAACATTTGTACAATAGTGTGACACACCACATAATCCCTGTTCTCAAAACTATTGCCACAAATGTTTTTAAAAATATGTCTTCTAAAAAAAATTTAAAAAAATGTCTCTCTAATGTTTACTGAGACAGCTGTGCTCCAGCCTAAACCTTCTATAGACTGTCAATGCCCAGGGAACTGGTTCTTGAAACCAGAGGTCCTATTTCTGCATTAGCAACATCACATTCAAGCATCCATTTAGATATATATCTTTTTTTTTAAATACATTTTTTATTGGGAATGTCCGATATTATTACATACACTGGTTCAACCCATATTTTATCTCTGGTGACCCTCTCAGCCAATGAGTGGCTTTCAGATTTGGATGGTAACTGTGGACTAGACCACCAGTGCCTTATGGATTTCCAGTACAGGTTAAATCACCTCAAAAAAGTGCCTCTAATCTAATGGTGTGTAGTGTGTAGTGGTTATGGTACCTAGATTGCTCCCTTAAATTAGAAATTAGTATGGATTACAGAAGTCAAAACAAAAGTAACATGAAGTAAGGTATAGGAATGATTTTTTTTCTGTTATCTAGATACAGTCAGACACACTAAACAGTGCACCAAATGAAATATTAGCGGTATATATCTTTTTTTGTTTGTTATTCGTTTTAAATGATTTTGCATTTTTAATGCATTATCTATATAAACTTTTAACTAGTTTTTGGATTAAAGCTGGTGGGATAAGGGGTACATATTACTACATAGTTTCCATTTAAGACTTCCTGAACTCAGAATAGGGGGTAAAGATGAAGTCTCAAACAAGAGGCAACAGCTGGAGAAATTATTCTGCAGAATTCTCCTACCTCTGATAACAGCTGTAACCTGATGTCAGTTACACAGACAGCTGCTGATATGAATCGAGTGGAATGTGAATGTTTCATAAGCATTAATCAGCATTAACCATTCAAGGGCTGTTGGCATAAGTAATGAATAGACACTTCTCTGTGCTGGAGACATTTCGTTAAGTTAGGAGCATGGTTTAATATGTGCTGCTCTGTAATAATTCTGCAAAATGTAAATCTTTGCCAGGTACTGAAAGAAATGAAGGTTTTGAAACCAAATTGTCTGTGAAAGCAGTGGTTTCCATTAGATGGGGAAACACAAATCCAGATTAGAGTCATGTAATGTTTATGATATACAAGATTGTTAAATAGACTTCTAAAACGTCAGGACTTGGCAAGATTGGCTCCCACATACTCTTGATGAAACCATGATTTAAAATAAATAAATAAATTGAAGCCTTGAATACCTAGTTTGCCTGGATAAGAATTATTGGCATACAGTCCTCAGCATTCTAAAGGCGGGTATCACCAACCCCCTAAAACCCTATTGTGAAAGGTGCTTTAATGACATTACACTCTTATTAATGCAGCAACAATTCAGTGTTGGTTATATGACAGTCAGCATGTAAGACACACAACGTCTCAATGAAGCCAATTTAAAAGCATACCAGCCAAGCTTGCCAATGAGGACAGCCCATTAATAGCGTCCTGGCAAGTAAACGCCTTGAAATGAAGCACTTCTCTAAATAGACTGGGAGACATATATGACAGAACTTAGCACTGAAGTGCAAATGGGAGTCAGCACTTACCTTTAGTACCCAGTTCTTAGAACCTAAATTCCAAGAGTTTATGTAACAATATTTTTTCTTGAGAATATACCTCCTGATGTTGCTGATGCCACTATAACAAGGCCCACTGCTTCTATCATCATCCCTGGGAACAGCAGACACACAGGAGCAGCATCAAGGTATATGCGATTAAATACTGAATAGTACATCTTGTAACATAAATATGTAAAACTAGGAAACACATGATTAAATAATGGTTTTCCCAAATGACTTGTCATCCAGAAAGGAAGGACGATCTGAAGGGTATAATTAAAGAGAATGAACGGAATAACATTAGCAATTAGCCGTTTGGCTCCCAAGGAAGGGAAATCCTACTAATTAAAACCAAACAAATTTTTATCACTCTGCTCCAAAAACAGAGAATGACACACTCTGGAAACATCAAAAAAGTATCCAAAGAGCAAAATTCTTTGCTAGTACAGGTTTATTGATACAAAATAGAACATGGCTAAAATGTACAGACCCGGTATTGTCAATTCAAGAAAGGTCCATGCACTTGGTGGGATGGGGAATATAGACAACACTGGACGTCTATAAACAGATGCTTTCTCAACATGAATGACACAAATAATCACCGTGAATTAAAAGGCTGAAAGGGGGAGTTCAATTAATGCAACACCCATTGAAGCTTAGTTCAACTAATTCAACACCCATAGAGTGCGTTCAATTTGTATTAATAATCTAACCGACAGTAACCTATCCCTTAAGATATTAACCAGTTTGTTAATACTCTAAAACAAGGTAGTGGAGATTATAAAAAGTAGTAGGAAAATCCGCACTGGATTTCCTTAAAAATAAGAAAAAGAAATACTAAAGAATAAACAATGTGATAATTGTAAGCTCTTCCACAAGTTGCAATGTTTGTAATTACAGGCAAGTTGAAAGTTGAATATTTTCCTACTAAATAATAATAATAATAACAAAGTATTTAAAGGACTACAATAGGCACCCAGACCACTTCAGCTCAATGAAGTGGTCTGGGTGCCAGGTCCACCTAGGATTAACCCTGCCTGCTGTAAACATAGCAGTTTGAGAGAAACTGCTATGTTTACTTTAGGGTTAATCTAGCCTCTAGTGGCTGTCTCATTGACACCCGCTAGAGGCGCTTCCGCGCTTCTCACTGTGATTTTCATGGTGAGAAGACGCCAGCGTCCATAGGAAAGCATTGAGAATTGAGAATGCTTTCCTATGGACTGGCTGAATGCGCACGAGGCTCTTGCCGCGCATGCAAATTCAGCAGATGACGGCCAAAGGAGGAGGAGAGTTTAACCCCCTTCCTCTCCATTCAGCCCAGCGGGAGTGGGACCCTGAGGTTGGGCACACCCTCAGGGCACTATAGTGCCAGGAAAACGAGTTTGTTTTCCTGGCACTATAGTGGTCCTTTAACCAGGAAACGTACATTCAGACTACTCTGGTTTTCACGTACGTCCTGGAGATGTTACCTTAGCCAAACATCCAGTGGTTGTTACTATTACCCAATTTAATGGTACTCATTTTATCTACCACGGAAGGATGAAGGGCTGAGTCAATCCTGCCAGGATTGGCCCACTGAGCTATATCACCAGTTATAATTATTTGTGGATTATGTATCCTATAGTGGCAAATATTTCAAACATACATTACTGCAAACTGGGTAGCTCTTATCTTATGGAAAGAGATAGCAGAAACAGATAGCAGATATGTTTTGCTCAAAGGAAAATATATTTACGAATCATTGTTAGGTTAGTTTTCTTATGATAAGGGATGCACCGAAATGAAAATTCTGGGCAGAAACCGAAACTGAAAATTCAGGATGCCCTTGGTCGAACACCGAAACCGAAAATTACTTTTTTCCCCCCAAATGATTTTTAAAAAGTTTTTTTTCCTATAATTTTATTAATATTAGACTTTTTGGAACTTTTTTGGTGCTTTGTCGTTTGCATTCCTTTTACTGTGTGTTCTGTATTGTGGGTTGGTTTCCATGCCAGCTTATTTTGACTTTTTTTCTGAACTCCGAATGGATTTATTGGTTTCCAACGCATGCCTATGGGTAACCGCGTTTCGGTTTACATATTTTTCGCAATACGAAACGTCCCGGAAAACGCATTAAATTCGTAAACCGAGGTACCACTGTACAGTAGAAGGATACAGTATCCTCTATGTTGATATGTTATGTTAAAAGATATTAAATAAATTACATTCTGTATTCATATAATGTTCTGAAACAGACTATACAGATAATTTAAAGGGACACTATAGTTACCTGAACAACTTTAGCTTAATGAAGCAGTTTTGGTGTATAGAACATGCCCCTGCAGCCCCACTGCTCAATCCTCTGCCATTTAGGAGTTAAATCCCTTTGTTTATGAACCCTAGTCACACCTCCCTGCATGTGACTTGCACAGCCTTCCATAAACACTTCCTGTAAAGAGAGCCCTATTTAGGCTTTCTTTATTGCAAGTTCTGTTTAATTAAGATTTTCTTATCCCTGCTATGTTAATAGCTTGCTAGACCCTGCAAGAGCCTCCTGTATGTGATTAAAGTTCAATTTAGAGATTGAGATACAATTATTTAAGATAAATTACATCTGTTTGAAAGTGAAACCAGTTTTTTTTTCATGCAGGCTCTGTCAATCATAGCCAGGGGAGGTGTGGCTAGGGCTGCATAAACAGAAACAAAGTGACTTAACTCCTAAATGACAGTGAATTGAGCAGTGAAATTGCAGGGGAATGACCTATACACTAAAACTGCTTTATTAAGCTAAAGTAATTTAGGTGACTATAGTGTTCCTTTAAACACTTTCGATTATATCTAGCTGGATATTATGATTAGTTTCAACAAATCTATATTATCACAAATCAAGCTTTTGTAGAAATGAATCAATTAGTTAATCTACGATGATTATATTTCATAACACTAGAATACCTAAATTTTTCTTCTCTTATCCCAAGATAAAAAACAAAGGTTACCCCATAGGGAACTATTTATAAATAGTTCTCACTATTAGCTTAAACAAAATATATGGAAGGAATGTATTTCATATTTATTCAAAAAAGGAATTAAACTAAAATAACTTCTATAGTAATAAACTTATTTTAAAAGGGAGAATAGACTTATTGTCGGAATGCTCAATTTAAATCCCACTACAAATTAAGCCCGTTAGATGTTCTTGTGTGCAATGTGAAAAATCAATTTAAAAAAAAACGTAAACAGGATATTTTGCAGATTCCGTTCTCTCAGACCGAGTCTTTCTTTTTGGATACCTTGAAATGTAAAAAAAAAAAACAGATTACCTCCCACCCATGATCTAAATTAATTGGATACTGTCATTTGTTTAGCACATTCTGATTTGACGATGTAAATATGTTCTGGTATATGTATTTTAAAATCTTTGTTTATTTTTATCCACATATTGTTTATTACATTTTTTTTACAGGTTAGCAAATAGAGAGCACCCTCTGTGAAGCAGATCATGAAATCTCTCATTTTATAATGTTTACCTGTATCAGAGGACCCAAAATAATTCTTACTATTTAAATACCTACAGTGATTACATCTACTTGGCCCATATTTATGCATAGCTTAACAGGCAAGCCAAATTTTGCTTTGATGAATTGTATTTGTCAGAAATAAACTAGGTGATAAATATGGTTTTAATGATTTAGCCTTTCTTGCACTATTTTTTAACTTTGATCTACATACATCCCTAAAATAATTATCCATTCTTAAGATGGTAAGTTGTTTATGTATAATTTTTACAATAGCATTAAACTGATTGATATACTCTACCACCTATAAAAAAAAGTGCACATACATCTGCAAACATTCAATCAAGAAGAAATCAGTTGCATGTTGGGAAACATTTTCAACCAAAATATAAAGATTGAAAAAATTAAGACATAATCAGGAAAAGGACATCAACTGCATTCTGGGAAATACATACTACCATACATTAAAGAGGAAAATGTATTTGAGATAAACCGAACTGTTAGTCAGGGAGAAACGGTCAGCTGCACGTAAGGAAAACATTCTCAGGGCAGCATACATGGAAAACAAAGCAAAAACATGTTAAAAACATTTAAATCTTCAAATTCATATGCTCTGCTGATTAAAGTAAAGTTGTTCTTTGCATTTTTTATGGTCAAATAACTAGTTCAACATCATACTATGAAACAGCTCATTTTGCATCTAAAATTACGGGATTTTGTTCTTAGTTGTGTGACCAGATTATACATGGATGTGACCTCAAGAGACACATAATGGGGCAGTCCCTGGCCTCCTCCTGTTTGAACACTGGAGAGTAAATCTGAATTTTAATGAAGGAGAGCGGGCCTTGGGTCAGCATAATAAACTTACTATGAATAACAATATCTTATCCCTGGAGACAAAGATAAACATTTTCACCAGATTCACAGCCTCAGGCACTAATTACATGACAAAAAGGATGTATTCATTAACTGTTAAATGCCTGATCAAAACTGGCAAGTTTCTAACCAGAAACTGTTCATTTAAAAAGAAAAAAAAAGTGTGTAAATAAACAAGTTTACAAAAATAAAAATACTGAGAATATTACTAAAAATAAAAGCACAACCCATAACTAAATTTAAGGTAAGATCTTGAGTTACACAAATATCTCAGTAGTGACAGCTCTGCTTTATAAAGGACACTGCATTTTCTAAATGCATTAGTTAGAAAGTTGCGCAAATTTGCGCAAAAATACAAATAAATAAATTAAGAAAGAGTTGCAGCAGTCGCTACAAATACATAGACACACGGCAACAGGCAAGGAAGCTGCTTTAATAATCATTCATGTCATAGCGTTCTACCAAACAGCCGTCTTAGAATGTGCAAGTCCGTGTCTCATGCCCTATTAATGAGGAAGCAAGGCTGGGATTTGAAATGTATTTCAGAAGTTTACCCATCTGTGATTACTTGTAATGTCTAATAAAGCCTAGTCTTCCAAATGTATTTTATCACTGCCCATCAGGGTCTTGAACATCTGTAAATGGAAGAGTCTCACTAAGCACCACAACAACGTTGCATCACTGGTAAAGTTACAATGTAGACAGTACCCAGCTCCCTGTTGCTAGAGTTATAAGCTTTCCATTGCAAGTGCTATTTTTTTTAATACGTTTATGTTATCTGAATGACTTCCAGGATATAGTGTCCTTTAAAAAACATTCTAAGCACCATAACCACTACAGCTTACCATCAGTTTAAACTGAACCTGGCATGCATTTATATGACGGCAGCACTTTAAAAAATGATTCATTGTAATAGATAAATACATTGAACTATCTTGCTTGATGGCACATGTATAGGTCAGATCGTTGTTTTACTTTATTTTTACCTGTAGATATTTCAATAATGTATATATATCTTCTACAGTAGGTCTGCACACAACAAAAATACAGTAAGTACAGCAGGCATCCCACATGACCACAGTAGCCATACATCATAATGATGTATAATAAAATCTAGAGTTTCCAATATACACTGTGTATACATAGAAAACTAATTCAATAAGACAAAACACTTCTAGAAACTGATACAATAACATACTATTAGTAGGAGTAGTATTTATTCTGCAGTGCTGCACAATATGTGGACTAACAAGTCAAGGTGATCATACAGGGACATAAGGTTGTGAGGGCCCTACAAGTTAGCATCAAGATTAAATAAATTGTGCTCTGATAGGAAATTATATCAAAAGAGTTTAGAATTTTAATCTGTAGCAAAAAAAAAAAAAAAAATGTGCATGGGAACAGCTAAATCCTACACCTCCAGGGACATACAGGAAGTGCTTCCTCTACATTGTCTCACACAGTTCCCAGACACACTATCCCACAACACATGCTGACAAATAAAACATAAAATACTGACAGGCAAATGAAAACTTGTTATAGTTTTAGCTCACCTTCAACGACTCCTATAAACACAGTTGACTGGACAAACACAGACTCCAGCAACATATATATGTTTATTTGTAGATGCCTCCCTTCACCGAAACTTTATAATTTGTTCCCCGATTCCCCTTGAGAATATTCCTTGTAATACACCAACAGTGTGCATTATACAGGGTTCCTGCCAAAACAAGTAAATGGCCTAATACTATGGCTGCTCAAAAAACATGTTAGGCCACAATACCATAATGAAGGCTGCATAGACGACATCACGGGTAACTGACACGATTAAAGGGAAAGTTTAGTGTTAGGAATACAAAATATGTATTCCTAACCCTAAAGGGTCCCTCTGCCCCTCCCCTCCCTTAAGGCTCTCCTAGTGGCAAATTAAGGGTTAATAAAGCCTTTAAACACCCGCCTGATTCCAGCGCCAAAGTCCCTTGTTGGGTTGGGCTCCTCCTTCGCTTAAGTCAGCCGATGCAGAGGGGACCTAATGCACATGTGAGTGCTTCACGCATTAGGCCTTCCCCATAGGTGTTAGAAGATGCTGAACGTCATGCAAAGCATGAGGACATCAAGCTTTGTTGTTTTATGGAGTCAAAGTCCTTGAAAGGCCAGGAAGCGCCTTTAGTCTGGGAGACAGCCACTAGAGGCTGTATTAGCCATGCAATGTAAACATTACAGTTTCTCTGAAACTGCAATTGTTGCAGCTGCGCGATTAAGGGGACAGGGACACTGCACCCAGACCATTTCAATGAGATGATGTGGTCTTGTTGCCTATAGTGTCCCTTTAGGGCCATTATAAAGAAACAGAAACTAAATGAACTAAAAATATCTAGAGTAGTAGACAAGAACGACTTCCCATGCTGTCCAAAAACATGTAAACTATGCTGATTTCAAGTAGTCTCTGCTATGATGGGTAGTTAGCACAAACCTCCCGAATGTGTTTTGCGGAATGCACAACAAAGATCTCTTAAGTTGCTGCAGTGTCATTGCAATTATCTAACATAAATAAACTGGATTACAGCATTTGTACACAGAAACCACATGTACGTTCTTAAATTAGAGTAAGGCTTATACTCAGCAAATACTTTATTAGATGACTCTGCTCATTACCTTAAAGCTAAATACTGAAAACGATCGTTACAACCAGTGTTCATTTTGGTGACAAATTTCAATTCAGTTTATTCATAGTCTTTTGACTAAAAAGCCATTTTAGTTTAAGCCGTATTTTAGTAATCTGAATTGGTTTAGTTTTAGTCGACTAAATCTCCAGTAGATTTTGGTCAACACGACTAAAATCGAATGGGTTCAATTATGTCTCTTTTGCCCCTTTCCTAGTCCCTCTGTGTCTTTTTGTATCCCCCCTGCCACCCATGTGTCTCATATCTTCTCCTCTACCCTCCCTCAGTGTGTCTTACCCGCCAGTGTTTAGTTTTAGTCATAGTCTTTTGACTGAAAAGCCATTTTAGTTTTAGTCATATTTTAGTCATCTGAATTGGTTTAGTTTTAGTCGACTAAAATATGACTAAAATGGTTAGTCGACAAAATTAACACTAGTTACAACTCATCATATACG